CCAACACCAACACCAACACCTACCACCCCACCAACCTCCACATCCACCACTTCACCAACACCAACACCAACACCCACCACCCCTGAAACAACCACATCCACTACTTCTCCAACACCAACACCAACACCTACCACCCCACCAACCTCCACATCCACCACTTCCCCAATACCAACACCAACACCTACCACCCCACCAACCTCCACATCCACCACTTCTCCAACACCTACCACCCCACCAACCTCCACATCCACCACTTCACAAACACCAACACCAACACCCACCACTCCATCAACCTCCTCATCCACAACTTCTGCAACACCAACACCCCCCATCCCTGAAACAACCACCGTCACCACTTCTCCAACACCAAGAACTACGACCCCGCCAACCTCCACACCTTCCACCCCGAAGACTGCAACTCTGACCTCTCCCACCAGTACGGCCACCACCACAGGTAAGCTACCTGATCCCCACCCACCCGTATACCTCTGCCACCGTGTGGTGCCAGCTCAGCGTGTGCCACCGCAGAGACCCTGTGACCACCCCAGGGACACCTGGGTCACACTCTGCGTGGGGAGTCTGGGTCCCCCCGCAGCCGCCATCCCGGCCCCTTTAGGTCAGCGGACAGGAGGAGCCACTGCCGTTCCCCCTTGCCCGGGAGAGCTGCGGTTCTGCCGGGGAGCTCTGTGTCCCAAGGTCCTGATCCGCAGCTCAGCACTTTCTGCCTGGTGCCCCTGCTTTGCCCAGGGTGGCTTGGGGTGGGCTCCGTGGCCCCCTGCCCTCTGAGCCTGGCCTTTGGGCAGAGAGTGGCGGGCCCAGCTTCCACGATGGGGGGTTTTGCTTGGGCACAGCCCGTCTCTGTCAGGGAAGCCTGGGCTGTGTGGGGCGGGAGGGGGTGGGGCAGCCTCCCCTGCCCCGCGCCCCCCTCTCTGGCCTGGCACTGGAGGCCTCTCCGAGGGTAGCCGGTCGTTCTCGGGTGGCCCAGACATCCATTGCGGGCTGCAGGTCTGGCCAGCACGTTCTGGGGCCTCCCAGAGCCCTGGCTTCTCGTCCATGACCATGTGTGTGTCTGAGAAGCGGACATGAGGCCTTGTGGCCTCCGGTGCCCTTCCCCCAGCCAGCTGTGGCCCGGCCTGCAGCTCAGCTCCGGGTTTTACTGGTGAGCGCTGTTTTCACAGGCACACCCTCCTCCAAGACCACCCCCACCGGCGGGACCCCGACTGAGTCGTCCGCATCCACCCCCAGACCTCCCTCGACAGCCTCTCCCCCTCCGAGCACCCCGCGGACCACCAGCACCTCGGTCTCCTGGGGCTCTACAGGCACGGTCAGCCCGCTCACCTCCCCCAGCACCAGCTGGGTCAGCAGCGCCACGCAGATCACCTGCTGCGTCCTGGACGAGATGTTCTACGGCCCAGGTACTCGCGGCGGGCGGCGGGGCTGACGCTCGGCCCCGGGCTGCTTCTTGTCCTGGCGGGTGACGCACCAGGGCGAGGTCCAAGCTAGGAGTTTGCAGGC